TAATATAATATAATATAATATAATATAATATAATATAATATAATATAATATAATAATACTATAATATAATATAATATATAGAATATAATATAATATAAATACATAATATAATATAATATAATAATTATATAATATATATAATATAATATAATAATATAATATAATAATATAATATAATATAATATAATATAATATAATATAATATAATATATATAATATAATATAATATTATATAATATAATATAAGATAATATAATATATATAATATAATATAAATATAATATATATAATAGAATTAATATAATATAATATAATATAATATAATATATATAATATAATATAATATAATAAATATAATATAATAATATAATATAATAAATATAATATAATATAATAAATATAATATAATATAATATAATATATATAATATAATATAATATATATATATAATAATATAATATAAATATATATAATATAAATAATAATATAATATAATATAATATAATATAATATATATAATATAATATATATAATATAATATAATATAATATAATATAATATAATTATAATATAATATATATAATATAATTATATATAATATAATATAATATAATATAATATATTAATATAATATAATATAATATAATATATAATATATATATAATATAATTAATATAATATATAAATATAATATCAATATAATATAATTATAAATATAATATAATATAAGAGAATATAATATATATAATATAATATAATATAATATAATATAATATAATTATAATTAAGATAAGATAATATAATATAATATAATATAATATAATATAATATAATATAATATAATATAATATATATAATATAATATAATATAATAATATAATATAATATAATATAATATAATATAATATAATATATAATAATATAATATAATATAATATATATAATATAAATCATATAATATAATATATATAATATAATATAATATAATATAATATAATATAATATAATATAATATAATTAATATAATATAAATATAATATAATAAATATATAAATAAAATATAATATAATATATATAATATAATATAATAAATATAATATATAATATAATATAATTAATATAATTAATAAATAAAGATATATAATATATATATAATATAATATAATATATATAATATAATATAATATAATATAAAATATATAAATAATATAATATAAATATATAATATAAGAATAATTAATATAATATAATATAATATATATATATAATATAATATAATATAATAAATATTAATATAAATATAATATAATATAATATAATATAATTATCTGAATTAATATAATATAAAATATAATATAATATAATATAATATAATATAATATAATAAAATATAATATAATATAAATAATTAATATAATATAATATATATATATAATATAAATAATATATAATATATATAATATATATAATATAATATAATATAATATAATATAATATAATAAATAAATATAATATATATAATATAATATATATATATAATATAATATAATATAATATAATATATATAATATAATATAATATAATTATATATATATATATAAATATAATATAATATAATATAATATAATATAATATAATTAATATAATAATATAATATAATATAAATTAATTATATAATATAATATAATTAATATAAATATATATATAATATATAAATATATATAATAATTAATAGATATAATATAATATATATAATATATAAATATATATAATATAATATAATATAATATAATATAAATAATAAATATATATAATATAATATATATAATATAATATATAATATAATATAATAAATAATATAATATAAGATACTATAATATAATATAATATAATAAATATAATATATAAATATAATATAATATAATTATAATATAATATAATTATATATATAATAATTAATATATATAATATAATATATATAATAAATTATATATATAATATAATATAATAAATATAATATAATATATATAATATAATATAAATAATATAATATAATATAATAATAATATAAATATAATATAATATAATATATATAATATAATATAATATTATAAATATAATATAATATAATATAATATAATATAATATATATAATATAATAAATATAATATAATATAATGTATATAATATCATATAATATATATAATTATATAATATAATATAATAATATAATAATATATATAATATATATATATAATATAATATAATATAATATAATATAATAAATATAATATAATATAATATAATATAATATAATATAATATAATATAATATAATATAATATAATATAATATAATATATATAATATAATATAATATTATAATATAATATAATATAATATAATATAATATAATATAATATAATTTTGTATAGTTATTGTTGACCTTTGATCAATGTATTTTCTTCTGGTTTTTCGTTTGGCTCGAGGTCAGAATTTAAAAAACAGACGAATTTGTTTTTTATATATTAATTTATTTGTCCGATATTTCGACTATCTTCGATAGTCATCATCAGGGATTTGACTTGAAAAATAATTAACATTTAGTATAAATAAATAAAACAAAACACTATAACGATAATTACATTGGATTTTAACTCTTCTGTTTTTAAGTTCTCTGATGCAGCTTTTCCATCCTTTCCTTTTTACTCGAATTTTCCAACTAATTTTTCTTATGCTTTTCGATGACATTTCTATAAATTTGAGCACAATGTTCCGTGTCAGTTTTGTAGTTCATTCGTTTATTAGGAGGTACATTTATAATATGTAGCATTCTAACATGTACCTACGTTTGTAGTTATTTTCTTGTGCCAAGATGTCGACATCTTTGAAATTGGGCGCATGTCCTTCTTGTTGGCAATGGGCAGCAAGGGCAGTTTTTTGCTCTATGGGTTTAGTTTTTGTCTTTTGGTCCGATTTATGAGAGCTAATACGAGTTTTTAATTAGATTTTGTTGTCCCAACATATGCCTTCTGACATACGTTGGACCCGTCCCCATTACATTTAATCTTATAAACGACGTTAGATTTATCCTCGTGTGGAATTTTTGTTTAGTTCTACTAAAGAAATTATTGTTGGTGTTACTGCTTCTGAATGCCAATTGATACTTCTCACTGTTGTACATGTTTGATGAAGAAAATCTTTCCGAAAACCCTGGTATATATGTAGATCTTTTATATGTCTTTTCCACTAATTTTGTATTTTGGTATGCTCTATTACCCTCGGCGCGTTTAATCAATTCATTAACAATGTTACTAGGGAAGTCATTCATTTTTAAAATCTTTATGATTTTGATTTTGTTCTTTGCATGGAATTTTCTGTCACTTATTTTCAAGACCCTTTGGATAAAGTTTGTGGCCGTGTTGATTTTTATACGTCGCGGATGCTTTGAATGGTAATTAATTAATCTACCCGAGGCTGTTGGCTTTTGGTACCAATCTAATAACAACTTTTTTCCTTCTCTTTGTACTAAGCTATCTAGATATGGTAACTGATTATTCAATTCACTCTCCATCGTAAACCGTAGTTGTTTGTTGTACATATTCAGCGTCTTAAGTGTATTTTCCACTTCCTCCTTTTTTACGATGCAAAATATGTCGTCCACATATTTTGTCAAGAATCTGGGTTTGACAGCCAATTTGTTCATAGTTTCGTCAAGAAGTTTCTCCATTATTATATCAGCAATGATTGGTGATATAGGTGAGCCCATCGGCATGCCTTTTTGTTGTTCATATATCTTATCCTTATATGCGAAATATCTAGCGTCCTTAATACATGTTGTCAAATGTCAATAAAAAGATCCATTGGTATATGTGTATGTTCCTTTATAATAGACCAACTATCTTTAATAGCACTAATAGCCAAGTTTACTGGAATGCTTGGGAACAAGGAAATCACGTCAAATGAAATTAAAATTTCGTCATCTTCAATATGTTGATTATTAATCCTGGATTTGAAGTCTATTGCATCTTTATGTTGTATTTTGAATCAACTGTCAATACTTTTAGGATTTTTGATATATATCTGGATAACTCATAAGTCGGCGAATTTGTAAATGAACATATTGGTCGTAGTGGTGTTCCCTCCTTATGGATTTTGGGCAATCCATATATCTTTGGTGGTATTGACGTTCTATTTATTAAGTTATATTTCACTTTCTCGTCAATTAGTTTTAACTCAAATAATTTTGTAACTAATTTATTGTTTTTCTCTTGTAGTCCTGTTGTTGGGTCCTTTTCTTACACGTTTGTAAGTACACATGTCCATTAAAATTGCGTTCATTTTTGAATCATATTCTGTTTTTGACATGGCAACAGTTTTTCCACCCTTGTCTGCATTTAATATTAATAATTCTTTATTTTGTTTCAAAAATTTCGCCGTTTGGTCCACTGTGTTTAGAACAAACCGATCTCTTTTCCCTAATGTCGTTTTCCTCGTGTGGTCATTTATCAGAGTAATAAAATTTATTCTCGCATTCTCTTGTTGTTCTCTGTTATCCAACGTTTGAATGCACTCTTCTCCCTCAGCGATAATATCAAACAAGGGGAACGTCGTTTTGTTGTTGGCAAAGAGAACTTCGGCCCAAGAGACAGCAACCATTCAACGTTGTTGGGTATGTCAGTATCTGTTTTATTTACGAACCATTCCTTGTTGTGTTGTATGTTCAGTTGACAGTGTTGTTGTTGTTTTAATGCGTCTAGTTTGTTGGTGTGTATAGATTTCTGTTTTGTGCTTGAGAGTGAGAAATGATATTCTCACTTTCTGTGAGTAATATTAAGTCGTCTGCATCTAATTGGTCCCTGAGTTGAGCTTTAATGTTTGTAAGAGTATTTCTTGTAATGTTGACTTGCTTATGTTTCTGCTGTATTAATAGTTTAAGTACTTTTGTGTGGAAGTTATAGGTGATTGTGTCTAACGATGTTTTTACATTTGTTGGTAATAAACGAATGAACTACAAAACTGACACGGAACATTGTGCTCAAATTTATAGAAATGTCATCGAAAAGCATAAGAAAAATTAGTTGGAAAATTCGAGTAAAAAGGAAAGGATGGAAAAGCTGCATCAGAGAACTTAAAAACAGAAGAGTTAAAATCCAATGTAATTATCGTTATAGTGTTTTGTTTTATTTATTTATACTAAATGTTAATTGTTTTTTCAAGTCAAATCCCTGATGATGACTATCGAAGATAGTCGAAATATCGGACAAATAAATTAATATATAAAAAAACAAATTCGTCTGTTTTTTTAAATTCTGACCTCGAGCCAAACGAAAAACCAGAAGAAAATACATTGATCAAAGGTCAACAATAACTATACAAATTAATAACACGGAAGGCACGCCGATAAAAACAACAATACTCAACATGAATGTCTATAAAAATATAAACAAAAATATAACGAAGAAACTAAAAATGTCATCAAACAATATTCAAAAAGTAACAGGCAGTCAGCACGCTTAACATCAACAGCAACTTTCCTCATTAAGTGCAGAGAAACAGGTATAATTCCAAATTTTATTTCTAACACCACAAAGAATGTTTTTGACTTATTTAAAACAAATAAACAAATACCACAAATGTAAAACATCGTTAGACACAATCACCTATACTTCCACACAAAAGTACTTAAACTATTAATACAGCAGAAACATAAGCAAGTCAACATTACAAGAAATACTCTTACAAACATTAAAGCTCAACTCAGGGACCAATTAGATGCAGACGACTTAATATTACTCACAGAAAGTGAGAATATCATTTCTCACTCTCAAAGCACAAAACAGAAATCTATACACACCAACAAACTAGACGCATTAAAACAACAACAACACTGTCAACTGAACATACAACACAACAAGGAATGGTTCGTAAATAAAACAGATACTGACATACCCAACAACGTTGAATGGTTGCTGTCTCTTGGGCCGAAGTTCTCTTTGCCAACAACAAAAACGACGTTCCCCTTGTTTGATATTATCGCTGAGGGAGAAGAGTGCATTCAAACGTTGGATAACAGAGAACAACAAGAGAATGCGAGAATAATTTTATTACTCTGATAAATGACCACACGAGGAAAACGACATTAGGGAAAAGAGATCGGTTTGTTCTAAACACAGTGGACCAAACGGCGAAATTTTGAAAACAAAATAAAGAATTATTAATATTAAATGCAGACAAGGGTGGAAAAACTGTTGCCATGTCAAAAACAGAATATGATTCAAAATGAACGCAATTTAATGGACATGTGTACTTACAAACGTGTAAGAAAAGACCCAACAACAGGACTACAAGAGAAAAACAATAAATTAGTTACAAAATTATTTGAGTTAAAACTAATTGACGAGAAAGTGAAATATAACTTAATAAATAGAACGTCAATACCACCAAAGATATATGGATTGCCCAAAATCCTAAGGAGGGAACACCACTACGACCAATATGTTCATTTACAAATTCGCCGACTTATGAGTTATCCAGATATATATCAAAAATCCTAAAAGTATTGACAGTTGATTCAACATACAACATTAAAGATGCAATAGACTTCAAATCCAGGATTAATAATCAACATATTGAAGATGACGAAATTTTAATTTCATTTGACGTGATTTCCTTGTTCCCAAGCATTCCAGTAAACTTGGCTATTAGTGCTATTAAAGATAGTTGGTCTATTATAAAGGAACATACACATATACCAATGGATCTTTTTATTGACATTTTGACAACATGTATTAAGGACGCTAGATATTTCGCATATAAGGATAAGATATATGAACAACAAAAAGGCATGCCGATGGGCTCACCTATTTCACCAATCATTGCTGATATAATAATGGAGAAACATCTTGACGAAACTATGAACAAATTGGCTATCAAACCCAGATTCTTGACAAAATATGTGGACGACATATTTTGCATCGTAAAAAAGGAGGAAGTGGAAAATACACTTAAGACGCTGAATATGTACAACAAACAACTACGGTTTACGATGGAGAGTGAATTGAATAATCAGTTACCATATCTAGATAGCTTAGTACAAAGAGAAGGAAAAAAGTTGTTATTAGATTGGTACCAAAAGCCAACAGCCTCGGGTAGATTAATTAATTACCATTCAAAGCATCCGCGACGTATAAAAATCAACACGGCCACAAACTTTATCCAAAGGGTCTTGAAAATAAGTGACAGAAAATTCCATGCAAAGAACAAAATCAAAATCATAAAGATTTTAAAATGAATGACTTCCCTAGTAACATTGTTAATGAATTGATTAAACGCGCCGAGGGTAATAGAGCATACCAAAATACAAAATTAGTGGAAAAGACATATAAAAGATCTACATATATACCAGGGTTTTCGGAAAGATTTTCTTCATCAAACATGTACAACAGTGAGAAGTATCAATTGGCATTCAGAAGCAGTAACACCAACAATAATTTCTTTAGTAGAACTAAAACAAAAATTCCACACGAGGATAAATCTACGTCGTTTATAAGATTAAATGTAATGGGGACGGGTCCAACGTATGTCAGAAGGCATATGTTGGGACAACAAAATCTAAATTAAAAACTCGTATTAGCTCTCATAAATCGGACCAAAAGACAAAAACTAAACCCATAGAGCAAAAACTGCCCTTGCTGCCCATTGCCAACAAGAAGGACATACGCCCAATTTCAAAGATGTCGACATCTTGGCACAAGAAAATAACTACAAACGTAGGTACATGTTAGAAATGCTACATATTATAAATGTACCTCCTAATAAACGAATGAACTACAAAACTGACACGGAACATTGTGCTCAAATTTATAGAAATGTCATCGAAAAGCATAAGAAAAATTAGTTGGAAAATTCGAGTAAAAAGGAAAGGATGGAAAAGCTGCATCAGAGAACTTAAAAACAGAAGAGTTAAAATCCAATGTAATTATCGTTATAGTGTTTTGTTTTATTTATTTATACTAAATGTTAATTGTTTTTTCAAGTCAAATCCTGATGATGACTATCGAAGATAGTCGAAATATCGACAAATAAATTAATATATAAAAAAACAAATTCGTCTGTTTTTTAAATTCTGACCTCGAGCCAAACGAAAAACCAGAAGAAAATAAATATATATAATATAATATAATATAATATAATATAATATAATATAATATAATATAATATAATATATTATAATATAATATATATAATATAATATAATATAATAATATAATATAATATAATATAATATAATATAATATAATATAATATAATATAATATAATATAATATAATATAATATAATATAATATAATATAATATAATATAATATAATATAATTATAATATAATATAATATAATATAATATAATATAATATAATATAATATAATATAATAATATAATATACTATAATATAATATATATAATATATATAATAATATATATAATATAATATAATATAATATAATATAATATAATATATATATAATATAATATAATATAATATAATTAATATAATATAATATAATATATTATATATAATATAATATATATAATATAAATATAATAGAAGATATAATAATATATATATATAATAATATAATATAATATAATAGATATATAATAAATATAATATAATATATGATAATAATATAATATAATATAATATATTATATAATATATATAATATAATATAATATAATATATATATAAGATAATATAATATAATATAATATAATATAATATAATATAATATAATAGAATATAATATAATTATAATATAAATATAATATAATATAATATAATATATATAATATAAGATAATATAATATAATTATAATATAATATAATATAATATAATAGAATATAATAGAATAATATAATATATAATAATATAATATAATATTATATATATAATATAATATATATAATATAATATAATATAATATAATATAATATATAATATAATATAATATAATATAATATAATATAATAGAATATATAATATAATATAATATAATATAATATATATAATATAATATATACAATACAATATAATATAATATATAGTAATAATATATATAAACATACTTTGATCTAAATCCACTTTAGAGCATTTAACTTTTCAATGCGACTTAGTAAACTAATATGTAAGAATACATCTATTAATTAATAAAAAATAGGTATTTATGTAAAATAAAGGAAAAAACATATTAAATCACGTAAATTAAAATTTAAGACCGCACAACAAAACTTTATAAAATTATATTTGATTTTTACAAACCATAAACTATATTTTAAAAATATCGCTTAAGTCAAAAAAAATGTTCTATTTTTCGTTATTTTCATATAATAATTTTTTTACTACAAAATATATTATAGAACAAAAATTGTAACCGTATTTAACAAGTAACGTTAAATATATTTGTTAGCATTAGTGTCTATACAAAAAAAAATATGAGTAACTTGTAAACATTTAACTATATTTTAAAATTAACCAGAACTAACTAACTTTAAATGATGCCAGCACTGACTGTTATTTGTAAATTTATTTGAATAAAATTCATGAATTATAAAATTATATGAATTAAATTCAACTAAGAATAATCAATTTAAACCGTTGAATATTCTTTGTTAAAAGGTGCGGTTTAGTGTGTTTGATTCATCCATGTTGCCATACCTTCCGTACGACAACGTATCATACTGGTTTACATATTTGTCCAAGTTGATATACCTTCTGTATCCAACTAATAGTATTCTTTTACTCAAGTTACAATACCTTCAGTATGTAACTTTACACACTCACTTTGAGGTGTGTTGTCCGCACTACTCCGAGATAGTAAGCATGCATTATACTTACTAAGCGTTCCCCATGCTCAATTTATTTTCATTTAGCTTAAGTTAATTTTTGTAAGATAATATTAGTTCAGTTCTAATTTGAATAAAGTATATATATATATATATATATATATATATATATATATATATATATATATATATATATATATATATATATATATATATATATATATATATATATATATATATATATATCTATATATATATATAATAAAGTTCTAATTTGAATAAAAAGCCGCAAAATGTGACTTCCCCAGTAAACCCAAAAGAGTTTTCAGTTGACGGAGGTCAATAAAGGAATCAACATTTTCTAATTTGTATGAACCGATAAAGGAGTTAGAATGTATTAGCTGAGATGAATTTTATTATAGAATGAATTTTATCGGTTATACATTTTTGGCCATCCTATACTAGAGCACATACAAGCCAACATTGTACACCATATGTAT